GGTGTGTGGGGCTGGGTCGGGGAGGAACTTTCCAGTTAGGGAGCTGGAGAGTGAGGGTGACATTCAGAGAGTGAAGAGAGAGAGTCAGAAAATTAGAGAAAATTAATAATAATAATACTGTGTAAGTTAATGAGTGATTCTAGGCAATGAATTAAGAAGAACCTTTGTGACCTGCAGTCTAATACCTTTGAATAAAATAAGCCATGTTGGCAGCAAGTGCCTGATGCGAGTCTTGCACTGTGTGGATGATGGGGTGTGTGTGTGTGTGCGTGTATGTGTGTGTGGATATCCTCTGGTGGCAGCGGATAAAGGGAGGGCGCGTGTTCTGAGAGGGAGCCTTGCTTTAGGGGGAAACAGGCGAGGGGGGGGTCGCTGGGTGGAACATCACACCATGTTTTATTTATACACTTTAATCCATCTACAGTAATAATATCAATTTTCTCTATTTCTGTGACAATCTATCTTGACTACTAAATCTCACTCCCCCTTCTTCGGCAGAGTTTCTCTCGCTCTGTGTGTGTGTGTGTGTGTCTGTGTGTGTTTGTGAGGAAACAGAGATGGGAAGTCAGGGCATTGGCTCAGGAGATCAGTCAAGCAGGAATTCAGGAAACACTGAGCCTGGAGTAATGTTGGAAGTTCTTCTCAACGTTGGGTTGATGTTTGAGCAACATAGTCATCCGCTTTTGGTGTGGGCAGCTTCCTCCCACAGCGGCAGCTATTCAAAGAAAGCTCTGTAGCTAAGGACTCCTCTGCCTGAATCAGGCTCTCCATCTCAGCTAGTCCCAGTAGCCCTGAGAAACGTTCACGTTGAGAGTCTTAAGGATTATTCTCCCTCAGATGTTCGCCCTTCATCTGGAAGGGATGGTTTCTTTCTAGAGGAGCCAAGCCCTCCATCACCACCTAGTTTTTCTGCCAGTTGGGTTCCCAAGCTCGTTCTCCACCTCAGAACTCACCAGTGGAGGCACGTTATCCTGCCTTTCGCCCTCAGAGGAAGACTTCTCCAGGTATAGCATGACAAAAGGAAAGGTGAGCCAGAATGAGGGCCATTTTGGAAGTAGAAGACAGTCAACTCTCTTGAGCCAAAGGGAAGCCATCAGATAAGCAACAGTCTGTTTGGAAAAAACCTGAGAAGCAAACATGGTGGGAAGTGGCCTTTAAAACCAGAGAAAGGGGGAAGCCAAAAAGGAAAGAGTTCTGCGACTCTCCCAAGTGAAGGAGAGAAATGCTAGAGCGAGCCAAAGATTTTTTCCTTCCTGAAGCAGAGTGGCAAACTTTGTTCCTGGTTCCCAAGTAAGGTTTATAAAATCCAAAACTCCTGGGTTATTTTGGCACCTGAATATATATGTGTGTGTGTGTGTGTGTGTGTGTGTGTGTGTGTGTGTGTGTGTGTGT